CCTCGCGCACCCCCCCGCGCCCCCAACTGAGTAGTGGTTTTTTGGTGGTTGAACCTAGTAAGATTATATTCCTTATATAAAATACTATACCCCAAAAGGAGGATGGAATCTTACTCTATATTGGGTACCATACTATCCCCAAATAAAATACTACTCACATGGACTTACGACTCAAAGCGTCAGGTAGCTCTTCCATCAAGCGATCAGCCACAAGCGAAGCTCCGCTCGATTTACATGCTGCCCGCAATGCCATCAATCGAAGGTGACCTTTCCAGCATGCGGCAGAACTGCACTTGCAACAGTCTGGTGCGACCCTGTAGGCTCTGAGCCCTACCCTCTCTTCAAGAGTTTTGCGTATATTTCCCAAGCAAAAAATGCAGACACACAATCTAGAACTACTGGACACTTTAAGAACAGCCTAAGTTTTGGGCACGCGGACTCCCGGACTATTCTAGGGGTTGCAAGAGCACTTCAGTGACTCAAAGAAAGTTGGGGACACTCCACTCCCTGGTGCTTAGTAGGGAATGGAAAAGGGATCGCTATTAGTCCCTATATGATCCAAATCTTGCAATGCTAAGGGGTCCCTTGAGAGTATATAGGGATAAAAGGACTCATATAGGGTTTAGGTTATATCCCCCATAATAGTAATCCCTATAATCTATTCCTCCATTCGCCTACTAAGCACCAGGGAGTCCATGCGAGAGCTCTGGAACCATCCAAAGCAGGTGGCAGCGACCCCTCGAAGCCGCAACCAACACACAACCAGGGAAGACCAGTGTTTGCACACCGTTTGCATAAGAGTAATAGCAATCATGCTAATAGTGGTAAGAATAATAAGAAAACAGTAATTGTATTAATAAGAAGAAGAGACTGAACATGTCTGGTGATATGGGCATGCCTGAGAAGGTACTGTTTCTTGAAACCGCTTGCAATACAAGTAAGGGCAACCTCGCGGGTATGGCACACCAAAAGAGGCAAATGGTGCCTTTGGGGGGTCCCTATTAAAAGGATTATAGTATGTTGGGGTCCATAGTGGGGTCCCCTTATTGAGGGAAACTACCATTTCACAAACAACTGACGTCTTTCAGATTACCCAGTCTGACTGCCTGCGAAACATGATGTGGGTAGAATGGCACCAAGGCATTGCTTTCAAAAGAAATGGGACACAGACACAAAAACAGAGTCAGCAAATGTAGACAAAGTAGCAGATTGATATCCTTCAAATCCACTGATGGGGTAGCGCTGTACATGAGATCTTGCTCTGCTATGCAGACAGAATTCTGTCTGCAGTGTGCGTGCGCGGACATAGCCAGGTAGGACCCATAGCACGCGTCGTGTCTTGAAGCGCAACAAACCTCAACAGGACTCTCGACCGTGGGGCGGCGCTGGCAAGCATCCATGCTTAAGGGAGGTCAGGTGGGTAGCCTTACATAAGGCTAATGCAAGGCTGATATGGGGGCAGTGGCGCTATGGGGGGGCTATGTAGGGCCTATATGGGGGAAACTAGCCACCTGAAACTTGATGCAGCCCGGCAACACAGTAAATAGTGGCATCAGCCCACTGTCAATGATCTTCCTGAAATGGCTTTTCTCAGCGGATCAGCTTCATTCTTTGTTGGCTCTCGGCCAAGGCACGTGTCAGCATGCAGTGGCTGCTGTTCAGCTCCCGCATCGGTGATCATACAGGACAGGTCTACCAAGAAGGCATCGCCTGAAGCCAGATGCAGCCAGCACCTCCAACTCTGCCTGCATAATGCTCCTCGCAAATCCTCCGGGGCCAGAGCGAGAGATGAAAGGTTCTAGGATGCCGCCCACAAGCGTACAGAGCGGCTCGAGAACTTGCTGGACCTGGAATGGCTGCACCAAGAATCTTTCTTCCAACAAATGGGAATTTTCGTGCACCAGCACGCGCAGCACGACCTCCCGTGGTCACATCTCTCCCTGTCAAACCCGCACTCCAAATCGCTGCCTGCGGCACCAGGGGGAGAGTAAACTCGATGCGGTCCTGTCTTCCGCCATGGACCAGCTTCCGGAAATACCTGCACGCAAGGTGTTCAGCGAAGGATCGGCTTTGCTCGCCCCCGGAGGTCACTTCTTTGTAAGGTCAAGTCGTAGCTGAGCATTCGAAGCCTCAAGAAATCTCAAGAATCTCAACTCTGATGCCAGCTTCTCAGCATCTCTCAGCACAGCTGCAGATGCTGTAGGCCTGCTCCAGCTCCTGCTTTGCAGATGCGAGCGCATCATCGACCTTGAAGGGATGGCTAGCAGAGCCCCCCTTTCCCCGCATTGATAGTACTAATAGTAAAACTCATAAATAGTAATTGTAATGATACTAGCAGTAAGAATAGTAGCAATAGTAATGAAAATGATGGTGACGCCCTAATCCCTCACATAATCCCTTCTGACCATATCCTGCGAGCCAGGGAACATATGCTGCCAGTCTTTGGCAAGCGTGTGCCGGAACGGCTTCGCGGATAAGGAGGCAGCCCTGGCACAAATTTCCGTCCGTCAAACACTTTGTTGGCGGAGAAATCCAGATCTCAAGTTGCAGCCAACACGCTGGCTGAGTGGTGAGTTTCCTGCCCGTCACATTTCCTATCCTTGTTTGGCCAGTCTCCTCCCCTTCATGCCCTCCATTACACAGAAACCGTCCTACTCCTGAGGCTTCAGGCCCTTCCAGCACGCTTGTGAACAGCTTCATGGAGTTTTCGTTGTTGCCCTGTAGTACGAGTATGGAAAGGAATCCGACAAATTACACAGTGCTGAAGTTGTGAAAAACATGCGCCAAGTTTGTTCTACAAGTGCTTTTTGACGGTTTGCTGGTCTGGTTATAACCATTGATCTCTCGCCTTTGGCTGTAGACCACGGCTTCGCCTGAGAAGCATTAGAGGTATCCTGACCATACCTCTGCCGTAGCTTGTCGCAGCGCCGTTGAAGGTAAGGAAACGAAGCCAATACTGTGACGTTTTTTTCATGGCAGAACGAGCGATATAGAGAGAGAGAGAGACAGAGAAAGAGAGGGCGAGGGCGAGAGAAGGGCGAGAGCGAGGCAGAGGGAGAGGGAGATTTGTTTCAGGTACTTTGTAACATGGGGAGCTCAAAAAAACAAAGTTGGGAGAACTGTCGCTCTTAAAGAACCAAATACCTTGCGTGGAACAACGAAGTATGTCCTTCATCGACTTTCCTCCCTGCACCCAAGCTCGGAGCAAAGCTAGCCGTACATGCTGATGGTACCAGACCTGAGGGAACCCAGGACCTGAGCCATGTTTAGCCGAGCTACACACGAAACAGCCTACCTTGCGAGGACCCTGATGGACCCTGCACGCACACGCTAGCAATGGGAAGATTTCACATCAGCAGGATATTTACACATCAGAAAATGGTAATCCACATGTACCGTAGACGCTCATTCCAGGGCAAACCAAAGTAAGGGCAGATATTCCGTTCTACTGTGGACGCTGGGGTTTGGGAAGAAATCACAAGATTCAAGCTTAAATTTCGTAAGATTCCCCATGTAGACGATGCCATACAAACATGCATGATCTGAAACCCTGTGGATACTGTAGAAACAACACAATTGCAGGAACTGCTCTTGCATGACATCTATTCTAGTAAGTGCTTTTGAGCTGGGTCCCCCAGTGTGGACGCTGCTCAACAGCTGCAACGACGCCATACAAACGTGCCGCATCATGAGCTGAAACCCTGTGGACGATGTGGAAACAGCACAACTGCAAGAATCGCTTTGCACGACATCTACTCAAGTGCATGCTTTTGAACTGGGTCCCCCAGTGTGGNNAAAAAAACCAGCCGATGTGAGATAACCCGACCCCCAAGTAGAACCTGAAACTTAACCTCAAACCGTTCTCTTTCCGCATGCCATCAGAAGCATGTAATCAGTGCGCGGTGCACATAGGTGCATCGTTCATGTGTTCTTGCCGCTGGCTCCGGGCTCTCAATGCAAACCACAACAACTACCATGGATAGCCTTCCTGCGGGTGCCTGGCCTCCTTATCCAGGGTTTCGACAGCGCTTGCTCGGGTGAGGTCTGAGGCTGCCATCCAGGGAAGCGTCGCCATCGCGCTCTGCGCCTGCCGCGGGCTACTCTGGTGGATGGCCCCGGTGCCTACGCCAAACACTGCGTAGGAAGGGAAAGCCTCCCGGCAAAGGCTGTCGCCATGCTTCTTCTGGAGTGTTTCGATTCCTCCCAAGAAGTGCTGGATGCATGGCAGGTATGAGATTGGGATCCATGGCTAATTTAGAGTGGTCGCGCTGACAGTTCTGCCGCCACGGCAAGTCATTTATGAGATGAAACATCAGACCAACCGTGCCGTGGCAATGTGGGGCCTGGACAGTCAAGGAAGTCCAGCAGACATGCAGCTGGCCATGCGCCTACAGGGGAGTTGCAGCAAAATCTGCCCTGTGCGCATAAAAGCAGAATCAACATCACTAAAAGCAGCAGCGAAGGCAGTGACTAGAGACTAGAGAAGCCCCTAGTGGTTTGGTAGCGACAGCTTGCAGCTTGACATTGGTTGACCATACTGATGTCTGGCATCTCTCATTCTGCCTACATGCAAAGTTCAACTTCCGTCATTCTGACGGTCCGCTCGACAACCCTAAATTTCGCATGGCCTTCCTGCCGAGCGCTTCCGCGCCGACCAGACGCCGTTGCCATGGCTTCATGACGACGTATTAGGATTTGGGAGTTTAGTGCTGTGTCGCTTTCGTGTGAGTCAGCTCTACCACTTGCTGCTGTCATGGTTACCACGATGCTTCGGCTCTGACACAGACTTGGAGTCCACAGCTACAGCATACTGAAACTAGGAGTCCCGTACTGAGGAGTTGCACCTGGGCGGGTGCGCTGCAAAGCCTTTCTGCCTTGATGATGCAGCTCACAGCTTCCAGCGCAGAACAGGTTCCAAACCTCAACGTACCTCAATGGAAGCGAATGTCACATGTGCAAGCTGATAGATTCTGCTTGAGCAGCAGCACGTTCAGAACCATGCCATGCCAGCACCCTTGCTAGCAGACTGCAACTACAAAAGCTCAAGTAACGAGAGCATCAACGCATACTTTTCAATTAAGCTGGCGTGCAATACACCATAGATTGAACCTGACAGCTCGTATCAGCGCGCTCACGCAAACACAGCGGACCGACCACGACTGCGTGTCATCAGGATTGAGACTTAAGACTTCGAGAACAAATCTCGCTGTTGAGAGCTGCGGTCGCCATGTAACTTCCCCGGCTCAATGCTGGGGTACTGTACTAGTACACGTGCACCGTGGCCGAAACCCCCCCCTTGTCTGCACAAAATCCTTATCACATTTACCTGCAAGAGGGCACGGAGAGAAGACACTTTGCGGAGGGGGTGAGGAGCCCGCTCAATGCACAGGTGGGCAACGATGTACGCACGGCTGAGATTGAAAGTGTGGGAAGCACCTTGTTGGCTGCCTTATTCTGGTTCCAATCTCCGTCATGCATCTCCCGGACTGTACATACTGACTCTTGGCGAACAAGTCATGGTCAGTAACTAGCACCTCTTCAGGAACGGGACTTGTCCACGAACAGTCAACTATGTTAACAGTTGGATCCCTGCAACTGCTAGTGAAACCTGAGCCCAGGGTGTTCAAACGATGCCGTGGGGCATACCTGTCCTAGAAAACCTGGCAGAAGTCTCAATCTCCTATTCCGGCTCAGCGCTCTTTTTGCGCTTCATGGTTTGAGACGTTTGAGACTTTTGAGACTTTGAGATATCTGGTTTCATGGCGCAGGTCGGCGGTGCGAGACTTCCAACAGCTGCAGAAGATCCTATCTGATTACATGCAAACTTCTACACGAGCTACGAGAGTTTTCTCTCCAGCTCAATCTGAGCAATCTCGTCAACTCTCGGAATGGTCTACCCGCTCCCATCATGGAGCAGGGCCTGCAGCAGCACGCACTATCGTGTGAGAGTCAGTCTCTGCAACATCCCTCGAAGACTTTGCATCTTTGCCTCGGCGCCTGCGGTATCTCCGTCCACCCTGCAGACTGGCACAAGATGGACCACAAGTTTGTCGACTCTGAAAAGCTTAAATCGGGCAAGCGCGCCTTGCCCTGCGACCTCCAGGACATCTCAGGTATCTGGTAGGGATCCTGTGCACTCAGTTGATGCAAAGGCACTGCCACAACATCAAGCCAAGGCAGCTTAATCTACATTACATGGCAAGACGTGGTAACGTCTCCTCTTGGCTGCCTGAGGCTTTGGTGAAGTTCTGTGGGCCGACATTCACGATCACAGGGCCAGACTCGCCCAGTCCCACGGCCTGGAGGAAAAGCTCTACGACATTCTACGACTCTACGAGCAGCGACCAGCCCGCTCCCTTTTGCGACATTGCGCAGCAGCTACAGACTCGACCCTGATCGCACCCGGGCTCCCAATGCAATTCTGCACTCAAGGGGCCAAGGTTGTGAACGGGCCTTGCACCTCAAATCAGCTAATCACTCGTCATCGTTCCTCAGCCTCTACCTCTTCGTGAAAGGCGTTAGCAGCGGAACAGCGAACACACGTGCACAAGAATCCGTAGTCTTGCTGCAGCAGCTTGCGACGCTCACTTTGCTCCAAGTTTGGAAGCTCTCGGATGTAGTCGATTGTCAGCTCCTCTCCCTTCTTCACAGTCTGCTTCGTGCGCAAGGACAAGGTGGGGACGCGCCTCCCCGTTTGACCAAGCTCTATTTGCCACTCGGCATTCGGTTGGCAACTGTGGTTCAACCTTGACGCCTTCACGAAAAGGGCCTGTGAACCAAAATAAAAAAGCCTGTAGCACACAGGGCCTACTATGGCGAAGAACACCACACCCGCAGCAAGAACAGACTTTACATACTGTGCTTGAAAACGATATGCATAAGCGCAGCCGGTAATTGCACTCAGCAGCGCTGGACAGATGACGACATGCAATATCTGGTTTCGCTTGTCATCATTGGAGTCGCAGAAGTGGAAGCCACAATTGTCCCAAATCTGCAAGTGTTGCTGGGCAGTTACAAGTGATGAATCTGGAGCGCCTTCCACATGATCAGAGTCGTCAGCATCAGGCGCCGTGCCGCTTCTATGTCTGAGTTGGGTGGCATTGCAGTCATGTCTCTCCGCTTTGGAATGAGACTCGCACAAAGGATAAAGTGACCGGTACTGGGATTTGTGTTCTGAAGGCAGCGCTTCGTACTTGCTCTCTACCTTGTCCCGCCGGTACACAATGACACCAGTCAAAATCATCCATGTTTTCACAAAGACAAGTGCCGGCTCCTCAAACAGCAAAATGCCGGGCTTCAAGTCTCTCTTTGCAATGACACTTCGACCACGACCTTCCACTTCCCGAATCTCGATGCCATCTTCGGCCATTGGCAGAAAAAATCGGGTGACAAGATTCCACTAGGCCTGTTCAAAGATTGCCAACATGCGTGATACCTATGAAGCTATCACATACTAATCTCATTATCTGCATGTGAGAAGGCAAGGTTCTGTTGGCAAGCTCTGGATTCTAGACTTCTTTGCTTGTCGGGCAAAACCCCAATCAGGTCTCCATGGTATGACTTGTTCTGAAATCGGCAGCTGCAGCGGAGCATGAACGGACCAGGCAATGCATTTTGCAGCTACAACCGTTCCCATCGTTCAAAAATTCAAAAAATGATCCTTATGATTTGGCAGTTTCCCAAAATAAGGGGACCCCAATATAGACCCCAATATACTATAATCCTTATTATGGGCAAGCCCAATAAGGTACCCCTAATTCTGGGAAACCTCCATTTGGGATCATTGGGATCCTTAAGCCCTTCACCTCGCTGCCAGAATAAACAATTCTCGAAAGCGGCTTGCGCCTCACGGAAGCTGCCTCCGGAGGAAGCCCCTTTCGGGCTAAAGGCACTTTCAAGGCGACTTCCTTGGACCAAAGATATACTTCAGGTGACGACATGCGAAAGCCAAAACAGCAAAAAGCAAGCTAGGGATATCGCGGGACATGGTCATTTGCTTCCAGAATCGGGGCCTGCGGTCAAGCAAATGCCCACGGCAGCCACAGGACACGGCTGACTGCCATTGCATCCAATGTGCTCTTTTCGCTTTGGCCGCTGGCCCTCGGTTCTCAGGAAAAGGAGTCTGTGAAAAACCTTAAAGGGGCCCGACTGCAAGTGCTGCGAGTTCAAGCCGTAAGATCGCAGCATTCGCCGCCGCCTCCTCCCGGCCCGAGCCCTGGTGAGATCCCACAGCGCTGGTGGAGTCGGAGTCGGAGAGCTTTGTGGAGCGGCCGCGGCAGGATCCTTCCAAAGCTGCTTACCCTGCGCCTTACCACCGCAAAGCACCCCAAAGCCGCTCAACAGAAAAAGCTCTCAGAGCCACTCACGCCTGAGGTGTCACTGCCCAAGCCCCAAGACTCAGAGCCCGAAGGCTGTGAAGAGGCTCTGCATTCCTAGGCTGCAAAATGCTGCACACAGTGGCTCAGGCCAGGAGATTCTTCCTGCCAAAAAACGGAGGCACTGCCGTCCACGGAGGGCAAATGCCAAGGCGAGGAGACATGCGCCTTTGTCTGTGCTTCTTTTGCATGATGCTGAATTAAGGGCTGCTAAGGCAACTGCATACCCCTGCAGAGATGTTCCCTGCATGGCGCTGGACATGACCTGGGCTCTTTCCGCACTCCAAGTATCGAGAAGCCTGCCGGATCCAGTTTAGGCCAGCGCTGTCGAGGATGCCGAGCCATGTGGAGAGGATGCTGGTGTGCCTGTCTCATCGGACTTAACGTACTGACATACAAGACAAACATGTTGGTATATCCTGCATTTCTTCCTGCCTGTTGTGCTCGATGGCGCAACATTTGGAGAATATCCTGGTGCCGGACCTTGGCACTGATGGCTGACCATGGCTTACCATGGCTTACCACGGTGATCTGACAGATTTGAGGACTGCACCATTGGAGCCCAAAAGGCCAGAAGCATTGCCCATCAGCGGCGGATATCCCAGCACAGGTCCAACATCATCACGGGGTGGCTGGTAATCAACGTTAAAAGGAACCTCGGGAGTGTGATCTGTCAGACGCATGCACCTTGTGGGACATAACACTGTCTGACAGCTTGTGTCCAGTCTCAGATGGCAACGTCCTCATTCACGAAGGAGTGCTGCAGGGCCTACTACACTGATCCACAAACACACAAAAACGACAGCATTGCACTCCGTGCAGCATGGGTCCGCCTGCTTGGCTGTCCAGCGGCACTTTGGGTTGATCTGGAAAAGACCAGTCAAGAACTGGAGGAAGCATGAGCGGCTTTCCTGCATCCCAGAGTCCCACAGTGCACGAAGCGCTGCAAACAGAGGATGTGACATGCAGCATGCGAACCTCGCCCACTTGCGACACCACTTCCTCCAAGGCCCTTCGTTCAACAGCTTCTTGCAGGTGTTGTTTGGCAGCCCATACTACATCACTGCGGGGAGCGGACGTGAAAGGCCAGCTCCGCTTTGAGAAAACCTTGAAGTGCAGCATGTGCGATGAAAGCGAGAGGTGTTGAAGTCTAAGGTTGCAGCTGCCTTCTTGTTTGAGTCCTTTTCGTATTCCTCCCCTGCGAGCAAAGTGACATGGGTGGCAAGCTGCCAGTTTTGAATAAGAGCCAAGCCACCGGTTTTCAGTCTCCAGGAATAATGCACTTTGCGCTTGCTTCGCTCCGTGCTCTTCTTTGAAGACTCCTAGCCATACTCCAGCCATCAACATGAAGCTTCGTGCATACCAAGCACGTGCCGTCCTGTCCCCCACTTTCTGAGCCTGTCAAGCCGCAGACAGCTCAGAGATTGACATCTGAGAGCTCTTGTTTGGAAGGCATTGAGGGTGTGCAGGAAAGCCTGGCAAGCTCGAAGATGGAAGGCTGTGCTCCTGTACAGCAGGCTTTGTGTTGAAGTCTCAAACGTCTGCGGCAGGGTCCTCTGAGCTTTCGTTGGTTGCCTGTGTCGAGACCGTCTCCGATGCCTCCAGGGCCTCCAGGTTCATCCAAAAACTTCCAAAGGAATACACTTAGCAGCTTAGCAGCGCCTTGGTAGCATCTTCTGTGCTGAGTCCTGTGACAAGCCCCTCCCGACAATTCAACACATTGGTCGCAACCCGAAAGTCGAGAATTCGAAGCGGCGAGTCCCATGAGAGTCAAAGATCGCTGAAACGACAACTTGGTCTTTGTGCCACTTCGTGCCATCCAAGCTTGTCGTTAAGATGTTGATTGCATGCGCGTAGTAGCATTGGCAGACATTGCAAAAGTCAGCTGCCCACATGCACAACTTCCCCAAGCGCCTGCTGGGATCTGCGTGCTATCGATCACATCAGAATCCTTGGAGGTCACCTCCTCCACGCGCCGGAAGTACCTCCCACAGGGACTGGAACACATAATGCGCACAACTGCCCTGGCTTGTTTACTCTTTGCCGATTTGCTGGCTTTGCTGGCCTCTTCGTTTTGCTGCCCATGCTCAGCATCTCAGCAGGCGGAAGGCCGAGCAGCTTCGTGATGCTGCGAATCTGGTCATACTCGCACTGCCCTGCCAGGGCTCCAGTGGTGAGAATCCATCAAGGCCGAGAGAAAAAAGAGGGTCTTGATCATCAGGGGGCGTGAGCGGTTCGTATCTTACGGCCCTGCCCACGTGCATGCTTTTGCTCTCGTCGGCTGGACTCTTGTTTCATAAATGTGCCAGAACAACAAGCGAGCAGTGGACTTCTTCTTCCACACCCACCCAGGCCCTGTCTTCCTGTTTGCGCCTCGTGGCACGACCATATCGCCAAGGCGGCCCCCCGGTGGCAGTTAAACTACATGTAGCAGAACAGCCACCAAACTCAAAGATGTTTGCTCAACCGCTATCACTTCGGAAGGAAAAAGTGCCCACCTGTAAACAGTGGCAGTCCGAGATTGAGTTCTGCACAGATGCAACCCAAGCTCCTTGGAAGACCGGGACTTGCCAACGTGCTATGTTCTCTTCATCCCTCAAAGCTGCTGCTGCTTCCTCAGGGTCGGCTGATGGAACTTTGATGCTAATTCCATCCTTACACCTCCATCCACATCATCAAGCTTTTGGAATGGTGGTGGTGGTGGTGGTG